ATATTCGTCCACGAAGTGACTCTGAATCAATTGAATGGTCAAACAAGACTTTCCGACACCACCACCACCGACAACAACTAGCTTATATTCTCTAAGAAACTAAAGGCAATTGTAAGCATTTGTCGTGATGGCGCTGCGCTGCTGCAGGTTCGACGGCGAGGTAGTAAATCGGGGAAATAGGAGGCGGGAAGGAAAGGGAGACCAGAGACGGCAAACTTAGAACGCGGGAGAAAGGCGTACCTTTGAAGCCATCCTGGTAGGCTTTGTTCTGTATTATGCTGGGATATGGGGGGAGGGGGAAAGGAAGGGGGAAAGAGGAATGGTGATCGTAGCTATCCCAACAGAAGCTGTGACAAGCGGGTCGAAGGAGCAAGCAACAACACAATTTTCTTAGCCAAAGGGTCAAGAGGTCGGGCCCAGGTCGTTGGGAGTTTTGCACAGAGTAAAGGCGCCTAAAGGGCAGTCCACAGCAACGGCGGGTCTGGTGAACAGGCCAAGCTTAAAGAAGCAGACTGGGGGGTGGGAAGAGGGTCGATAGGAGAGGAGGGATGTGCCGATGTAGTGTCTGGGAGAGAGAGGATCAGGGGGGTGGAGGGGGGTGTGGTTCGTGGAACTTTGCAGCGGGCGTAATTGAAGATGAACCAGCAGGTGGTCTCCCGGGAAAGCTGCAATTCGTCTGATTCTAAACCGTCTATGGAAGTCAAAGTCAATCAAGAAGACCTTCGAGAAGTTCGTTCGAGTGGATTCAAATTCGAGGAGGTCAAGAGAAAGGGAGGAGAGGAAAGATAGGGTGGAGAGATTGAGAGGGGAAAGGGGAGAAAGACAGAGCCCGAGAAGGAAGGAAGGCGATGATTAAGGAGCCGTTAGTTCAACTTGAGGAACGGAGAGAGAGAAAAAAGAGTGGGGATGGCAGGGAAGGACAAGCCCAGACAGAAGGAGTCTAGATGATGAAGTGACTACGAAGTACGACTAGTATACCTACTAGTAGAGTAGTAATCGAGGAAGAGAGCAAGAGCAATCAACGTAGAAAGAACCAGTTACTCCTCCTTCTCCTCCTCATCATCATCATCATCGTCATATCATCTCCAACAAAGTAGATTAATTACCTAAGGTTAAGATCTGGAAAGGATAACTGTAGCGACCGTGGGGACGGAGACATTGACATTGACCCTATTCCGAGTCAATCACTACGACTAGGAATCGGACTCTACACTAACTACGGAGTACTAGGTAACTAGAAGAGTAGAAAAGATTGGAAATGAGGTTGCTGCTGATTGGGGGGTAAGTTGTAGAATAATAATAATCAAGAAAGGGGGGAAGGAAGAGAACGAGCGAGAAAGAGGATGATGGGTGGATGGGTGGGTGTGGCATTAACCGGCGACGCGTGTGGTTCAATCCAGCCCAGCCAAGACGGTGTTTAATTATTATTGAATCGGGCGATTGGTCCACTGGGAATAATTACTCTCTCTCGCCATCATCGCATCCTAGCTGCCTTTTGTCATTGTTAACATTTAGACAATAAGAAATGGAAAAGGAAAAGGGAAAGAAAAGAAAAAAAAAAAAGAAAAGAAAAGAAATCAAACGCAATCAGCTCAACTACAATTCAAAGCCTCTTCCTCGTCATTGCTCGAGATCCCCCGTCTACATGGTAAATTGTCAAAGATAAAGCTCAGAATCACAGTCCGTGATTGGAAAGAAGAGGAACAGGACAGACGATCGCAAGTGGAGGCGGAAGGCAAGGCAAGAAAGTTAGGGCCGTGAGCAGTCTCTGCAACGAACATCAATTGGTGGCATGGTACGAAGGAGTTGTCCAAGGAGCCTGGAGGGAAAAAGGGGTTGCCGATTCAGTCACATCACAATCTCTATCCATTGAACGGAAGCTAAATACTGTAAACCCTCCCTCCCTCGCCTTACTGCAATAATACCAAGTAATAAGAAACTTGATTGAGTACGGAGACTACTACCTTTCTATCTCGCTCCTTAAGGTTGCCATCCCCGGCTGATGCCACAGAGCCATCAATTTCGACTGAATCGCTGTGTGTCCTTGATCCAAAGACATTTTGGTCCCTCTCAGGACTGGCCATAGATTAATCTCACCAGTTCCACCTCTTAGCGCCGGTCGATAAAAGGTTCTACACACTAAATCGTCCAGAGGCCCCATCGGGTCTCCCCTGAGGGTCTCCAACCACTTTACTCAATGCCTTCAGCGACCTCGCTATGCGCAACTCGGAAAACAAACGGATAGCTTCCAATCCCCACAGCCAATCACGCTGCTGTCAGCTTGAGCAATTGTGACCCTCCTGGTGTCTGCGTCCCGCTCCGACTCCTCCGTTGAGCTCCTCTCGCGCAGGGTGCAAGGGCTGCAAGTCGACTCGGATATCCCCCGTTCCAACTGAGTCAGTGGGTTCGCTGTGGTGATTGAGGATGACGATGGAGGCCGCACAGGGGGATTGTTATCGGACAACAGATACATCCGTAGAAAGTAGTAGCCTTCAAGAACTCATCAAAAAAAAACCTTTTCTAGAAGCAATGTCGGCTCGACGGACTGACAGGCACTGCAATTGACAGCTCCATCCAGACGCGTAGGCTTACATCATAGGCGTGGATGTTGAATTTTCCGGCTACCTGAGAGTTCTTGGCACCATCTCCAATACCACTCTACTCAGCACTCGGTTAGTTAGTCTACAGTGTTACAGTGACACTGACAGTCTGGAGTCTCTGGACAGAGCCTCAGGCCGAGGGTGAGGGGAGAGCTCATGTTTCTCCACACCTCCACTTGTCAGCTCACATCTCCTGGGAAACATTTCACCATTGCAACGGCTGGTAAATACAGTACAGAATCTCGGTAGCCTCGGAACCCACCCCTGGATGATAGAGGGCCAACAACCCTGGTTCTCTCCTGATGCTATCGATGCCGTCATAAAAGAACGTCCTAGATCGGAACGCTTTCAGTACGCCGGTGGCATTGAATGTTGCCCTATGTCAATTATAAACTGTAGCCAAACTATCAACCCCAGTTTGCCATCACAAGTGTCTTGGCCTGCACTTCCCTTGGTACATGCACAGACCGTACAGTACAACTTGAAAAGTTTATCCGGACTACCTTACCCATCTTCCGACCTTCCCCGCGCAGTTGTATATACATCAACTCACCATCCTGTAAGATGCATGATCCGAGAACTTACCAGTCACACTTCAACCATGTGCCGGGAACGTCAAGTCCATCAATCACCCAAATTAGCTTTCTGGGCAACATCCCTCTTGCGCTCTCCCCTGCTTGGCATCGATGTGCGTGGCTATAGAGAACAAACCAACCCATCGGAAGGCAGACCGATCTCTCCGACCACAGGCCTCTCTCTCTCTCTTTTGGTCGTCATCCACTCACCGCAACATTCCCGTTCACTCACAACACCACCGGCGCTTAGCAACTGCTTATCAGCCTTTCTTCCAGGCTCCATCGCAACAGCTTTGGACATGACTCAGTACCCTGGAAGAGGACCCCCGCGCGTTCGCAACGACAAGGACGAGTGGCATCGACCACGGTCGCGACCAGTCCCGATGGCACTGAAGGGCAATATGAAGGATGTCGGCAGTAGGAACATATCACCACCAGCGACCCGTCCAACGATGTAGTACCCATGCAGCGACACAAGAATAGACCCACAAGCCCATAGCTCACAACACCTATGACAGGAATCAGGATCCTTCGGAGCAGAACCGTCGGCTAGATCGAGGTCTTGACAATCCATTTGGCCGAGCGGTGCGACGCTCTCATCAACCTAACAACTTATTCATATAGTTCAAACCAACGAAGTCAAAGCACAGCAACAGCCTTCCAACCACCCAAGCAAAACCCACTGCATCGAGAATGACATAAACGTAGCAGCACCCCCGAACTCAAAACCACCACCAACAATCACTTCGTCGTCCCTTCCACCATCCTTAGTACCATCCTATCCCGCCCGGCTCAGACGTATGCACACCATACGGTAGCATAGGTATATATCCCAATGGTCGACAAAACAGACCCCCAAAAATAAACTCCAACGTCTCAAGCACAATTGCCCTTAAAGTTCACAAACCAGACTAGCAGTTGACGGGTACGGTAGTTACACAGCAGGTCTAGACCGCCATTCTCTCCTGGGTCGAGATTTTGAGATTCGGCCCAGGCAATAATTGCTTCTTCCTGTCTCTGTGTCTTGGCTCCCATGTCATATGCAGGGGAAAAAATCAAAATTGGTCGGAGCTTGAAGCGTGAGGGGCCGATGAACTGACATGTCGATGTTTCTGGATTCGTCTGTTTTGCGGTAACTGGTTGGGGATTAGGGTTTGGATATTGGTTTTTCTGTGACGCAATGGGGGTTCACCTGGGGTTTATCATATGAGGTCATCTCTTGGGGAGGCGGGGGGGGGAATGGAGATTGATGGTTTAGGTTTATCCGGGTTGGATATCTCTTTACTTGCTGTTCTTGTTGGTGAAGGATTGTGGGGGAGTATAGAGTATGGTAAGTATATGCATCAAGTAAGATTTGTGGATTTGGTCATCTCCCTCTCGTCGGTTGGCAGCAGAGGGGTGTTGAAGCAATTGAGATGATTAGGCTGAAAGTTTAAGCGCTGCTTGATTTCCATCTAGAGGGCGGGTCGAGTGATGTTTCCATTCTTCTGAAGTCGGCAGCCCTTTGTGATTATCAATCTAGAAATAGAAACCACGTGCTTTTGCCAATTACTGGTCCTACGCTACAGGCCCTAATTACGGACTTCCACTGGACCTCGGCCCTGCTTTGAGAGGGGGAGGGGGGTTTGGATGCGGAGAATGACTGGTCAACAGGCAAATTCATACGCCTAAACAAGGTCGACACACAGCAGATGGACTACTTCTTAGCCAAGCTGGAGGGGACGGTTCATGGTGATTAAATTGCAAATAGCCGTTATCTATCGTTTCCAGACCGTAGCAGGTACCCTGCCTTTATATACTTCAATTCTATCGATCATGCATATCACTAAGCCTTGCGGTGCATAATTCCCGGAGAAGCCTGGTGAAGTATGCGTCAGCGCTTGTCACCTGGGTCCCCAAGATCCATGAACTTACCTGGTGGCTGGGGAAGATCAGCGTATCCGCGATCACAACGTTCTCGCGCCGACCAGCGGCAAACACAACAACTTCAGCGATGTCATCGGGGGTGAGGGGTTCGCAGCCACTGCAACAGAGCACATCAGTATATCGTGGGTCTCATTTGTGTAAACAATCTCCAGTAGGGGATGTCATACGCGTAGACTGCATCAGCCTTCTCCTTGTCACCGTAGAATCGAACCACGGAGAACTCCTGTACAGCACAAACAAGTATCAGTAAGATTCAGAACGAAGACCACTGTGGAGCTCTCAGGCAGACGACTCACGGTTTCCACCTGACCGGGGTCGATTTCGATGATGCGGATTCTCGTCGCAATCAGCTCCTTTCTCAATGCGTCGGTGAAGGACCGGACGGCCGCCTTCGTGGCACAGTAGATGCTTCCGCCGGGGTAAGGTTCGCGGCCAGCAATGCTACCGATGTTGATAATATCGCCGCGACCGCCGTCGGATCTCTTCTGGAAGATGGGGAGAATGGCCTGGGTCATGTTGATCAATCCGGTGACGTTGGTTGAGAACATGACGTCGATATCCTGAGCGTCGATCTCGGGGGCCTTGGCGACACCCTTGACAAGGCCGCTGATTCTTGAGTGTCAGCCAAGCTTTTGTCTCACTTTTTTGCCTGGGCCATAAATGCACAAGGCCGAATCTTGTCCAGGGAGAGGGGCGTAACGTCGACTCACGCATTGTTCACAAGCACATCGATCTCCTGGAACTCGGCGGGCAGAGACGACACGAAGTTCTTAATCTCCTCGGGATTGCTAACATCCAACTGTACGGGGAGGACCTTGACACCCTCACCGACTTCCTCCTTGATCTCCTGGGCGAGCTGCTTCAAAGAGTCAATGCGACGGGCCGTCACGATCAGCTTCAGGTCCTTGGGCGCGGTGCGAGCAAACTCCTTGGCCGTGCTGCGGCCGATACCGGACGAGGCACCGGTGACCACGATGGTCTTGCCCTCGAGGCGCTTTGCCATTGCAGAGGCCATTGTACGTCTGATGAAAGTGGGCTGGATCGCGGACTGGAACGGGGTTGATCGGGTAAGTGGGGTGAATGCGGAGATGTTCCCGGGGGAGGTCGTCAAGGGAAGCTGTCGCAGGGATCTGGTCGAGGTGAGAAGAGCTCGAAGCAGGCGCATAAGGCAGACTTAAAGAAATGAGTCAGAAGGATAACGAGAGATAAGGGGGGGGCTCAGTTGGCTTTAAATGGAATCGAAGACGGCCGAACGTCGGCGTTGCGTGCGGGGGAATCCGTCTTTCGTGATTTCGGCGGGGCCCTTTTTTTGAGCCGGCTGAAGGTCGCCCCGACATATCGGAGTTCCTTCCCCGATACCCTGCTGCACCGCATACAACTCTGCCGACTCGAAAATCTGCTTGCTGGCTGCAGGACAATGTTGGTCATCGCGCAGCAAAACAAAGCCATTGTGGTCTACAAGCACTCATGAAAGTTTCTTTGTCATTCTCTGATCCCAGCCTACCACATGGAGACAGTACAAAGACACACAACTTGAATGCCGGACTTGTCTAACTCCGGGGTTCCTCCTCGTGCCTTGCATGATATCATAACATCATAACCAAGCAGTACTTAAGATGAGCCCATAGCATGGTCAGAGCTCGGGATCAGATCTAGCGACCTACTATCTACCAGCGTTAGCACTGACATGTGGGTGCAAACACACCAACAACCGGAATATATTGCTATCCCAGCCATGACTTCGAAGTTTCTCGATCCTAAAAGCCTTCGATACGATAACTGCGAACGCGAACAGATCGTAATTCGAAAGAGTACCCAGAACCATTTGTTGCATACAACGGTCGATGTGGCTGTCCAAGTTACCGCTTCTATGCATCATCAAGGAGAAACGGGAATGGCGGTGTCAGTCATGACATAGTAATGACCTCTTCTTAATGATAATCACCATTCCGCGGTTTGGTTTCACTGATCACCCTTGTCTTTGTCTGACTAAAGACAGACGCTAGAGCCTGGTTATAAATATTCAAAAGGTGAACACTTCGAGTACTGCGAGGATTTAAACGATTTAGCGTCTGATCGCCAACATGGATCCTCAGGATATTAACTTCAGAGCCAGAAACGTAAGTGCTATGATGTCTAATAACCATATAACGAGTTTTACTGAACTAGAGGAGACCTACAGGAAGCTCCTCGAGCCTGGATCGCCATTCAACTGGATGGATGAAGCTTCGGATGACGATATGACTTCGAGAGACGAGATAAGCTCTACCAGCTCGACAGAGACACTAACAGTGTCAGACGAAGTGCTAATGCACGATTTCGATGAAATGGATTTCGACAAGCCCTCAGAGAGTGAGAAGGAAGAGGTATCTGCTGGCACCAGCATGGATTGGAGTGCAACCGAGGCGAATGATGAGTCAATTAAGAGGAGTCACGCTATCCAAAGGGCTTACCAGGGTCTCGGCTACAACCTGCATAACTTTCACCAGAGCCAGAGTCTAAATACTGATGGTCATGGCATGGAGCTTGAAGAAGCAGCACGTAATGACTATGGGGGATTGGCCCCTTCACCGGCCTTTAGCGAGGACGTGGAGAGCGCCGAGGTAAGGCTCATCAGGGTCGAAATTGACCATGAATTCAATGCTCGTGAGGCCTACATGAACCACGTAGACGAGTCCGAGTCAGTCCACCACTTCAACTGGTTTGGGAATCCCGTCCCACAAGAAAGTCGGACACCACCGGCGATCTCACTCTTCTTCCAGCTAACCGACCCGAAGGTCCCCAGAGCTGGGGATGAGCTTCGCCTTAAAGCCCTGATGAAGAATGCTATGGTCTACATAGACCCGGTAGTTGTTGATCTCGAAACTAGAGGACAAAGACTCCCAGGGACGATCACTGACTTCATTGAATGGGCATCCAAGCTCACGTTCAGGTACTACAGCCCACACGGTTGGTGGCGCAATGATCCCAGGGTAACCAACGATGAGTGTTTGCAAGACCCCGGCAATCCTTACGACTATCTGCTTGAGGACTTTGGTGTAGCTACTGGCTTCGTACAGAATAATAAATTCCCGTCGACCGGGGATTGGTTCGAGAGGCAACGATCGCGGCTCGCCGAGCTTGAACAGACGGGTCAAAACCGGCACTTCAGGAAGGAGAAAGAGAAGTCTTGCAAGCCCTCGCCTCTTAGGGAGTCAATCACTTGTGAGCCTGATGAGGCACCTCCCCAAATCACCGCCTCGACAGACAACTCGCTCGAGAGCTTCCCGACTCGAATGAGGATTATGAGCAATGTGCCCCAAAGCGGTGCTAAAACTGGCCTGCGACAAGATCCGCACAGCCCGGACCTTTACACCTTGACCTTGCTACCAGAGTTGTCAGAAGAGGGGGAGGAGCAGTCCAGTCCTGAGGGGGGGGGTTAGGCTCTGAACTGATTGCATGAAAAAAAGCTGATGCCGAACGTAGAAGTTTTAGTTCCATACTGGATAATGATAAAAAAAAAGGGTAAATGATAGAGTGCTGTGTGCTTCTTTTCCATTGTAAGAAAATCCAATTCGCCGAACATAGAATGTGTAGATCATTACCCTGTACTGTTGTGATCTGGCAAACAGTCAATTCAAGAGTAGACTGTTGTTATTGTTCTGATTGTTGTTGTTCCACAGCCCGTGGATCGTCAGGGATAAACATCGCTTGCTGTCTGTCTGTCGGCTGACTGACACTGACTGACCGCTTCGTCTCCCCCCTTCCCCCTTCTGTCACTGTTTCTTCCCTTCCTCCGGCCAGCGATCATCGTCCACTTTTGACAGTGGCCCCAGAGCCTGATTATCTTCTGCCAATGACAGCTGGCTCATGGGAAGAGAACGGTTCGGTGAGCCCAGCGGCTTAATTGACTGCGGTGACATAATTGACACTGACCGGGCCATGCCAAAACCGCCCCCCACGCGACGATCCTCGAGTCGAGTTTCCTTTCGAGCTCAACGCAGTGCAAGGCTGTCAACACCACCACCGACCACCGTAATAAGGAGCCAAATCAGTTCAACAGCTCAAGAGATCTTGTTCAGACCAAGCTAGGGACACTCTGCCCGCCATTCAGCGAACAACAAACGCCTCCCCAAAACCTACAGATGCACGAGTCAGTGAGTCTAGTGGGAGCGTACGTTTATTTATCCCACGGCGTTCAATAATTTATACAACACCATTCAACCATCTCTATTGACCAGACTAGGCTAGAGCCTCGCCATCTCCCAGGAAGCCTTTGTCCTCATTAGACAGTGATGGGGTACTGAAAAGCCTTATTCCAAGCCATGTACATCATTTGCCAAGTCTTGACAATAGGCGTTCATACCAGCTGCGTGGTAGTGCAATCCTTCGCCGTCTCTAGCAGTGATAGCGCCGCGCTATCGACGCCTCATCCCCTCTTTTTCTCCTGGGACCTGCATCTGAGGCCCCATTGTTTATTGATGATCACCACCGAATCCTTGCGTCCCAGCGTTCCGGGAAACCCCCCAAAGCACTCGAAAGTCGAAACAGGACATAATAATGAATGCCGACAGCGGATGCTAGGTCGTTTCCCCAGAAATGATGTATATTATCTTCTGGAAACCCGACCAGGAGAAGCATTTCTTTCACGAACGTGGTAGATGTGCTGGGGCCGCACGAGATTTCTCGCCCACGTGTGGTGGCGGACCCTGATCCTGCAGAATCGAACTTTTTCAAGCGCTGTCGCATTTTCTCCTCCTGATATCATGTTTGGCATACTACCCAAAATCTACCCAGACCTTACGCGATAACAAAGACCGCTACTTACAATGATGGCATCCCTTTTTACCGCAGGCGCACTGATTTACAGTTCTCCAACGGCCAAAACAAGTCCACGACCTCAGCTTGAAGGCACAGCAGAATTGATCAGACATAAAGACCTTAGATGAATCAGGAAACACTAAGTCCCATATGATCGACATTTTATGACTTGCTTCTGGTCCACAGTTCTAACGCCCCCCTTGACACACAACTCCCCCCCTCTTCTGAGACAAACGTAGACACCGGATTTAGCTGCGGGCTAGGTAGGCCAGGAATTGGAATCGAGCGAGGGCCTGCAGAGTAAATCGCGCGCGGACACACAGTCTATCGAGGTTTGCAGACGAAGGTTCTCACCATCTGCCGATCAACCACTGGACAGAGAATGGTCTCCTGCCCTGGCAGAAATTCCCCGGATGGTCGCAAGCCATGGAAAATTAACTATGAAATTGGTCAACGTCTAGAGTAGTATTGTCCTAAAAAGGCTATTGCTGTCGAAGATCGCGGCCACTTCGGACACTAGAGGCGACGTGCTCCACTGTGGTGACAATTGGTGCCTATCATGACCCAAATGTGTTCAGAGGACAAGTGCTCGTCAAAGCACCGCACAGAAACCGCCATCACAATCGGCAATGGTTCGCCACTTTCTCGGTCGGCCTTGGATAAACCGGGTGCATAGCATTGTTGTTGATAAGCGGAAATTATCAGCCCTGTTGGCTGGCTGGACCCTTCTTATGGTTGAGATTCAAGCAGAGTCCTCGTATTGAAAAGAAAATAAATATCGCCACTCGCCAAACACTCCACCTCTAGGATTTCTGACTGGTCATAATATGGAAGACTAATTCTGACCACGAGCAAGTGCAGGCGCCCGATCATACCACTTTAGCTTGCAGTAGGAGAAAACTCTCTTGCCAGGCATGCTAAATCCACACCGGCGCGATCGGGTATTATGATTCGTGCCGCGATCTGAAACCAAGCACATGAATCATGCATTAACTTTCAGAGCAAGGATAGTGTGGAAGACTTGCTTAAGATGTGACGAAGATTATCGATCCCCAACTGATCTTCTAGTTGAGATTGCGCGAGAAATTGACCTCGGATTCGTTTAGATTGATGGTCGTATACTGAACATATCGACATTCAACCTGAAACGAGCAAATAATCAGATTCTTTCTCGCTGTGGAGCGGAGACTGACCTCTCATGTACACTCTCTCTTGACCGCACAACACTTGCCGAGCAGCACTAAACCGCACAGGGCAGTTATACAAGAGAGTCGAGTAAGACTATGGCGACGTTCCATGGATCGAAAGCCCGGAACGAGGCACCAGTTGACAGGGCGGAAGGTGCCAGAGAGCCATCGATTCTGGGTCTGCTGCTAAATACGCATCCCCATTGACTAATCTTCTCTGCGAACCTCGTGCCTTCCTCCACCTTGCCCACGACACCGGTGGAGCCCGACGGCTTAGTCGCATAGATCATTACTACAATCTGAATGGCACCCCCCTCAGCTCCTAACCACATCCCGGACAAGACCGAGCTCAGGTCGTTCACTCAACAAGGAACCATGCTGCCCATCAGCCCTCTTTCAGCTTCTCTTACGCTATTGAGTACTATCAAACTTTGAGCCAGTGCGGGGATCGTCTCCATAGGCCGAGTAGTAAAAGGAACTGTACAAATAAAAGCCATGTCGTTACCGCACCGGTTCCTTCTAACTAAACTCTACTGCAGACGCTTCGACCAACCCACCCACTCTCTTTTAACCCAATTGATCTCCAAATTGAACCCATGCGGTCTACCTCATCCTGATATCTAGGTTGCGAAACCTGGAGAGGGCATCCTACTTCACCTCGGCGGACATTCAGCAAGCGGGCGCCACAGCCACCTATACTCAGAAAAACGCTCTTTGCTTACAGCTCACACCCCCACGGCCCTACCTACTCGATTCATTCCCTCCACTAACCACAATCAAACCAATATGGACACAATCAGAGAACATCTTTTGTTTCCCAGGATATCGGGAGATGGTGCAGAACGTGGTCAGCGAGCACTGGTGGTGACAGCCGTGCTCACCGGCTTTTCGGTTGTTATTGTCGCTATGCGAATGTATGCGCGTCTCGGTTTGATGAAACTGAAGGGTCGCGAGGATTACATGATTCTCATATCTCTGGTATGCCTCTCTGGACGACGTGATTGGAGTTCGGACATTTACTGACATGCACCTGGCAGATACTGGCGTGTACATACCTTGGCCTGGTTGGTGCTGGTAAGACCTCAGAGCTTGTCACACCGAGCGACTCCCATCTAATATACTCCAGAGGTACACTTCGGACTTGGGATACACTCTTCCCAGCTTCCAGATCGTATTCTGAAGGAGCAGCTGAAGGTAAAGCGCTTGAGTGTGCCACGCAGACAGAACTGATAACTAACGATTGGTTTCTTAGCGACTATGGGCTGCGATCCCGTTCTACAACGCCAGCCTGATCTTCACCAAGTTCTCCATTCTTTTCCAATACTTGCGGATTTTCCCCGACCGCCGTTTTCGACTGGCCTGTTACGTTGTGCTAGGCATCGTGGCTACCTACGGAACGTGGGCGGTCGTCAGTGGCTTCTTGAACTGCGTGCCGGTCTCCAGATTCTGGGATCGCACTGTTTCGGGGTACTGTCTCAATTTCGAAGCGGTCTGGTTCTTCAACGCCTCTATGAACATCGCCACCGACGTGACATTGCTTGTGTTGCCGATGCCGCTTTTATCGCAACTGCAGCTTCCGCGAGCGCAGAAGTTCGCGCTCATGGGTGTTTTCGCTATTGGTGGACTGTGCGTGTCTTCCTAACCACCAATCCAGTTTTGAGTTTGTGGCTAACCCATTGTATAGAGTCGTTATCACTAGTATCCTGCGTCTCTCCTCGTTGCGTTCTGTCGCCCAGAACAGTGACACTTCCTGTGAGTAGTCCCCTTCTATCGACCTGGCATCACTGTCCTTGCTGACAACCATCATCAATCAGGGAGCAACGTCGGCGCCGCCTACTGGACCGCCGCAGAATGCAACGTCGCCATCATCTGCGCGTGCCTGCCCTTCCTCCGCCCCATCGTCAGCCGCCTCTTCCCCAAGTTCCTGTCCACCAACAGCTACAACCGCTACACGCGCAATCCCACCGTGTCTGTCAGCCGCATGACCGCCACCCGCATGACCGCGCAGTCCCACCGCCACAAGGTCGAGCTTTACTCCCAGGACCGCGACTACGACATGTATACCATTGACGTCAAGTCCGGCGAGGCCAGCCATGTCGGTGCAGCCGGCGGTGCCTTTGGTGGCATTGAAGTGCGGACGGAGATGATCCAGGAGTCGTCGCATCACGGCGAATCCACCAGCCAGCGCCGATTGGTGGTGGATGTATAACGATCTATGCTTTACTATCACTTTCGCTTACCCTAACGATCTTTTTGTCTCGCTATGTTTCCCAGCCTCGGATCTCCGGACTTGCCTACCCATCACTTCTCTCTTTACTGTCTCACATATACCCCCGCGCTTCTTTCTTTTCTATTTCTGTGACTGTCAGCCGCCGAGAGATCTTGTATATTGCTAATGCATAGAAGGCTAATCGTTAATGAACTATCATGAACCTATTGAAATGTTTCATTCCGTTGCTTGCAGAGGATGTTTGCCAGACCCAGTACTGTGCACGTGACTCAAGGTCGATTCAAAAGATATTACTGGACTGTAGACAGGTCCACGCTCGACGTTATCTCCTGCTGTCCAGAGTACAGCTACTATCCAGCAGGTGTAGACTGAGTTGTCCCCAGCTTTTTAGTCGTTTGTTCTAATCCAGCCCAGCCGCCATCCGTTGTAGCAGGTCTCTAACCGAGCGATTCCAATCTACCCACCAACCCATCACCATCCGTACCATGCCACAGCGTAACCCTTATCCCCAGCTCAGTCTAGGAAGGAAGGATGCGGATGCTCCCGCCAGTATCGAAGTTCATTCAATAATAGGTAGAGGGCTTTGCGAGCCGGCCAGCCTAGGCTAAGCTAGCCAAGCCTTTACCACTCAAACTGATACACTAATAATCACCGTACAACCTGGCAAAACTCAGAATTTTACGTCCTCTCTATCCAAGAAATCTCACCCCTCCTTCTGTCTCTTTCTCTTGCTTATTTCATCTCATACCCCGGTTCCTTCCGATATTCTGTTCGATATTCTGTTGATTTTTCTACCCCTAATTTCACTTTTCCTGTAACGTTTCAGACTGCGAATAACTACCGACTAACCCGTTCTTCTCTCATTGATAATGCATGCACTGTAGGGTAAGAGGGGATAACAGGCTCGATGCAAGTACCCTCGAGCTCGATGATCGCGTGTTAACACACCCGAGTACAGGACGCTGTCCTGTGCTTTCGGGATAACCACGGTAAACGTATACATACAGACTGCAGATGACGGGTGATTTGCCCCTCTATCGATGAGTGTGAAACGGGTAATTGCAGTGAAGCACTGCACTGCCTACAAACAGAATCCGTTGTGGATGTGCATCAAATACTCCTGGGTACAGTGAGTATTTCTTCACCGGCTACGATCTACGATCTATGCGCAGGATTTATCCGCTGCAGGGATCAGGGGTTTGTTTGATTGGGTTGGTCTTCTCGCGTGAATGCTTGTGTGTTTGTTTATATTTTTGTTTGGTCCTACGTAAATCAGTACTCTTGGAGAATATGAAGCAGACTGCCGAGCAAGCTAAGGCCATGGAAGTTGGAAAGTAAGCGATTCTTCAGATTTCATCTATCATGCATCATGCAACGATCCTTTAGTCTTCCCACTAGTGTATGCAAGTTTCGTTATCTTTATGCTAGTTTGGGGATATCAAGTACAAGAGAAATGCCCGGTCGGGGCGCCCTGAAAATGCCTGATGGTGAGGACCAAGGCGGAGATATTATGTTCATTGCGGGTCACACTGCGGGGTGAGGCAGCTTAGAGATTTATGCATGTGTCCGTCTGGCGGAGGTAATGTATCGAATCATTCAAGTATAGTGGTATCATAAAGAGTTCAAAAAGTCGGACTTCTTCCGAAGATCTTGTCTGATGTGAGGTATGAAGAAGATGGGGAGGATGATGATGGTGGTGAATGATAGAACCATGAACAAGGTCTAGTCGCGTCGCTAGTAACATGCATGAAGCACTCATATGCAAATATGCAGGTATGCAGGAGGGTATGGTGAAGAAGAAAAAGTAAGCAAGGGCCCAACGCTCTAAAAGGCCCCAAACACCCAACGCGCTTGATAATGCAATAGCCAGAAAATGGTGCCATGTATCGAGAAAGTAAATGGTGGTCGTTAGCTTCGTATGCGTGAGTGGTAACACTCTGCTAATTTTGAATAGGGTTTGGCAAATGGTATGAGGTGCATATGGTTGATCTTAACCGGCCCTGGGGGGGTTGCGACTTTTTGACAGTCGTATGCTTCGTCGCAGCGTGGCCTTGGGCTCTTCACTAGGTTCAGTCGGCTGTCGACTAGCGGTTTTTGTAGGAGCGGAAGCTGCCGTTCGGATCTTAATCTTGAGCTTGGGGTCCTTCTTCGAAGCATCGATGCCGTCGCTGGCTGGCTCCGAGGAGGAACTAGTTTCGGTTTGCTCGGGGGTCGTGCTGCCGGTGGACTGCTTCTTGGGTGCAACTGTGTCAGGACTAACCCGCAGTCGCAGAGAAACAAGATCGTTCTGATCATCTCTGAAGGCAATTCCGACGGTCACATCGGGAAGAATGCGTCGTTTATTCTCCCGAACCCGCGTGCGCCGAACGGCCGGCCGGGGGTTCTCTTCAGCTTCGCTTTCATCCGCGGAGCGTTTGCTGCCCGTACTGAATGGAGATGAAGATCGCGAGGACGGTTGCAGGCGCGACTTCATGATAGCCTTCGAGGTGGGCGCATCTGCTTCGCTACAGTTGGCGTCTTCACCGATCAGGTTGATAAAAGCCCGGTCGATGTTACCACGGCACTGTTGCAGCATGCCTACAATGGTCTCGCGGTCGTATTTGCCCCCGAGACCCTCCTGGATGGCCGAGATTTTCCACGGGGTGGCCACGTCCACGACAGTCGAGCTAGCGGAAGAAGCTTCCTCTTGACGCTCCTTGTCAATGGGTGCTATAGAAGGTGGTCCAGTATGCGGCCCGCTCGTATGTCGGACCGACGAATAATGATGAAAATCCTACGCGGAGGGTTAGAACGTCACCTACGCCATAGTGTTTGTGTTACTTACGTGAAATGCGATGTGCACTTTCTCTCGGTGTTCATCGACGGGCGCGTGAACATCACGGAAGTTCTGGATTCCATACATCGTGTAGACGTCCACATCCCTCTTGAAAGATTGGCAGAATGCCTGGATCTCTTCAGCGCCGCCCCAGACGCCTTTCTTTCGCGATTCAGCCACTCTAGTGTCGAAGCTACGCTCCTTATCCCGGGCCGAGAGGGGCGCGGGACTGGCTGATGACGAGGAGCAATAGGTTTGCCTGGCTGCGTTGGCTGCTGCGCGGCGTGGTGCCCTGCGTTCTCCGCCAGCCGCAGCTATGAAGCTCATGAAGTAATCCTTGTTGGCCAAGATGTGATCCGCGAGACGAACACGGATTTGGTCAGCGTGGAGGAAGTCGCCGTACAATTGATCGGAAAGGGCATAGTACAGGCAATTGCCTACAATTGACGGTCAGAAAACAGGGCACACTAGAGTAGGAGCGCCAAGGGACAAGCTAGCTGGCCAATGGCGGGCAAAGAGCAACGTACCGTCGCCCTCGGTCGGGAGCGCATAGAGCCCTAGCTCGTTGAGACACGGAATCTCCAAGCATTCGGCCTCGGCGGCCTTTTGGCGCGTACTTCTAGAGGATTTGGAGGGCCTTGGTTGTGGTTGAGGTTGATCGCCCACCGACTCAACGGCGGGAGTACTGGAATAATGCTGACGGGGGGCCGCGACTATGGGCACAATTCTGCCACCGTTCGGAACGTCCGCCATAGTTGGTTATAGTGTCTGCTCGACGAGATGCACTCATTTGGGGAACGAACAACAAGATACAGAGAGGTTCGTCGAGCAGAGAGAGAGAAAATAAGAGATGAAGAATGTGGGGAGGGGGAGAGGGAGGAGAAAAATAGTCACTATTGATATAAATGAGGAGGGAGAGGGGGAGGGGGGGGGGAGAAAGGGAAGAAAGTGTTATTCAGGCAAGGAATAAAGTAGAGAATGGTAAATGGGAAGGAAGAAAAGGCGGGAGGAAGAAAAGCAACACACGATCTACGGGAGTACACGCGAGACTTTTCTTTTCGGACGGCGAACTGCGGAGGAGGCGTCTGTTATGCTCGTACGTACATCCCTCTTACCAAGGGTTTTTTTTATTACGCTCCGGGATCACAGGCGGTGAGCTAATAATCAGCTCATGATTGGGTCATTAACTGAGGCGGTAGTAGTCGATGACGAAAGGTATACAGAGCTATTACTAGGTGGTTACCAACCTATAGTACCTACCAAGTAGTACTCCGTACTCTCCTTCAATCGAGTCTTTTTGCGCATCCGCGGGGAGCGGTCACTCCAGCCCAACATTGAATCGGTCAGAGCCCTGCTATTGTTCCAAGCTTCCGGTTGAGAACATATTCACCTCTCTTCAATGAGGGGAAGCCACCTCATTCAGACTGTCTGCCCACTTTCAATGCCCAGAGGCCTGAAAGACCCTATCGGTAACGGGCTCTGCAGATCGGTAATCAATCCTTACACACAGTCCCCTCCCCACAACACTCTCCGAGTCCGTCAAATGAGGACGCGTTCCTTACTGTAACTTACCACGTTCGTCCATGGATTGTGCGCTTCATTCATCCTCAAATCCGATCCCACAACCGAATAAGCGTGATGAATTGAGAGTGCACTGACTGCCCTTGATCTAGGAGGGGAATCTTGGAGAAAGCACTTAGGCAGTCAAGCACTCAAAACACACCGCCCAATTCACATAAAACGGTTAAACCGCGATCGCCCCCCCCCGACGCGACTCCGCTATTGGATCCTTCTGCATTGTTGGTGCATGAAGTGACCTGTCGGACGGTCTATTGGCAAGGACTTGGATGTCTGTAGTAGCAAGGCTGCAGAACACGGACATAACTGCACAACATGGATGTGAGCTGTCAGCGAGTCAATGGCTCCGTTCCTGGGCGTATGGTTGCCAGATCGATGGCAGTAGGTATCACGCTGCTTCGCTGACCAGATTGACTTCATTGCTTTTCGGCGAAGACGGCTGTCCACTCGGTCCGTGATCGGACTCCAATGGTAGTACTGCCAATTGATCTAGTGGAGCACGGGGCCATTTTGAATGGACCCTGCCTGTGCTTTGAGCCTTTGATCGAGTAGTCACATCCTATCTTAAAATGATTGGCAGGAGAAAGACTGTGCTCGAGTTCTGCAATCTTTCTCGAGATATGACGTCAACGCGATTGAGTGCGTGCCGCCTATAGATCCCATCGAGGCATCTTATCCTATCCTATCCAGTCTTGATGCCTGAGGACGGGGTTGTCGCATTCCGGCTTGGCGGGAAGCCCCCTCAGTCTTACTCTACCCAGTTAGTCCCGGGCTGAGCGGGGGTGGCTCTCTCTTATCAATCCGGACCGCATCCCAATTGCCCGCATGCGATAAGCTCTGTTTGTGCAGGGGAAGCGTTAGTTATCATTCCTTGGTTAACTGACTCACAGCAACTAACTTAAATAACCACCTATTTACCAGCCTACTCTCGTATTCCTCCCTGGGGATACGCCTTCTATTGACTCGATAGACTCACCCCCCAAACAGTAGCAGTTTCAATGGCGACAAACAAGATCGTGGTTCTGGGGTATGCTTGACCCCGCCTGTTGTCTGCGGAGCTCATACTGATCTCTGGTTTCAGAGCCGGTGTGTCTGGATTGACCACTGCGTATCTTCTTTCGAAGGACCCCTCGAATAGTATCACCGTCCTCGCGAAGCATATGCCTGGCGACTATGATATAGAATATGCCTCCCCGTGGGCTGGGGCCAATTATCTCCCGTACGTTCCTTCGCAAAGAATAATGATGACAATGGAGTCCAGCGTACTGACTGAACATATGGCAGTGTGGGCAAGCGTGGAAGTGACCATGAGAGATGGGAGCGCAACACCTGGCCAGTATTGAAGGAGCTGACCGAGAAGCATCCCGAGGCAGGACTTCATTTCCAAGGTATGAACATCACTTATCCCCCCCTCCCCATCCTGCCATTGGAGTTAACTCGCCTTCAGAAACAATCGTCTACAACCGCACCAAAGACCAAGGATCCGCAACCGGGGACTGGTTCTCCGAGCTGGTGCAAAAGAACCCCTGGTATAAGGATGTTGTGCCGGACGTGTGTACCCTTAAACCCGCCCCGATCCCCGCCAGACAACCAGGCTAACGAACCCGGACCAGTTCCAAGAGATCCCCGCCGACCAGCTAGCCCCGGGCATCGACAATGCCTCCCAATTCACCTCCGTCTGCATCAACACGGCAATCTACCTCCCCTGGCTAGTGGGCCAATGCCGCCGCAACGGGGTCGTCTTCAAGCGCGGCGTCCTCAAGCACATCAGCGACGCCGCTAGCACTCCCCACCACCACACGGGCCACAAGCCCGACGTGGTCGTGAACTGCACGGGGCTCGCGTCCCGCACGCTCGGCGGCGTCCAGGACGCCAAGCTGTACCCGGCGCGCGGGCAGATCGTCGTGGTGCGCAACGACCCGGGCCAGATGGTGTCGATCTCGGGCTCCGACGACGGCGAGGACGAGGTCGTCTACGTGATGACGCGCGCCGCCGGCGGCGGCACCGTCATCGGCGGCTCCTACCAGAAGCACCAGTGGGACCCCCTGCCGGACCCCAACCTGGCCGTGCGCATCATGAAGCGCGCCGTCGCGCTGTGCCCCGCCCTGGTGCGCGACGGCCAGGGCATCGAGGGCCTGGACGTCATCCGCCACGGCGTCGGCCTGCGGCCCCTCCGCGAGGGCGGGCCCCGCGTCGCCGCCGATCGCATCGACGGCGTCGCCGTCGTCCACAACTACGGTCATGGCGGGTTCGGGTACCAGGCCTCGTTCGGCTGCGCGGAGGAGGCCGTCCGCTTGGTGCAGAGCTCTTTGTCCGGCCGCGCCAAGCTTTAGCTTACTTATGCGAGTACTTGCGATGGGCTTTCTGCTCGTATATACTTGCATGTTTGCACGTAGATCCAACATAAAAGCATCTGTCTATTCTTCAAAATCAATGGATCTCGTAGTGAAAGACCATAGATCGTATTCACGAATGTGCCAAGCTCCCGCTTTTGCCCCGGAACAACATCTGATAGCGAATAGACCCGCGGCGGGGGCGGAGGTGGGTTGAACCGGGGGAAGTTCTTATTTCATGATGACGCCATCATCGTCCGCGGAGAAATCATACGAGCACAATCAGTCCCGGTTTCCCCAGACTCACTCGCATAGACGAATGCTTTGGACCAGAACAATTTGCATACTTAGCATTGTTGGGCTATCACGCACCTTCCTCTCCTACTTATAAGTAAACGAAATTGTCTTTTTATTGTTACCGCTCACTGAATATCTAGGGTTTAAGCCGCCGAAATGAAGTACAAATCCCCGCAGGTGGAGGACTATCCCGAAACCGAGGACGGCACGCCCACTATCCCCCCGAAGCGCAAACTCGATCAGAGGGATCTCGGTGATGAGTTGGGCACTGGACAGGCTAGCGCTGGAGCCGAGCGGGAGCGGGACCAGCCGCCTAGCAAGGTTGTCAAGAAAGATGCGGGGACTGGGGATGATGCTGAGGAGCAGGTAATTCAAGATGTGGCTGAAGAGGAGGATGATGGGTATGATGGGCAGGTTGAGAGTATTGATGATGAGGAGGATGAGGATGGTGCTTTGGAGCAGGATGATGGAGGTGATGAACAAGAAGAAGAAGAGGAGGGGGGGGGAGAGGAGAAGGATATTGATCAAGAAGAGGATAAATCAGAAGAGCCCACTCCCGAAGAACCACAAAGCCCTACAACGATCAGCAAGCCGAAGCTGCAAAAAGCGGTCCAAGACTACGGGCGCCTCCCGCTCTACGGGACAACAATTGCGGAAGGAACCCTGCATGGCTCACCAGAGACGCTGCTCGCGATGGTCATCGATGCGATGCTCAAGTCGCGTCCGATCTCCCATGACCTTTCGCAGCGCGCAGTCAACCATCTCATTGAGGTTGGGTTCCATGATATCCGCAAGCTGAGCGAAAGTAGTTGGGAGGAGCGGGCGATGGCCCTGAAGGACGGTGGCTACAATCGGTATCGAGAGCAAGGGGCGACGAATTTGGGGGAAATGGTGGAGTTGATCAATGATAAGTATGGTATGTTTTGCGCTCCTTGAGTCGCATCTGGGTGATGATTTTGGCCTGAGCTAAGCTAAAGGCACATTAGAGGGTGATCTCAACAACCTATTGAAGAAAGCGAACAATGACCGGAAGAAGACCCGGCAGCTCATCAAGGAGATCAAGGGTCTCGGGGATCTAGGGGCGGATCTCTTCCTCAACAATGTCCAGAGCGTCTGGCCCTCGATGGCCCCGTTCCTGGACGGGCGCAGTCTGGAGACGGCTGATAAGGTCGGACTGGGCACGGACTTGGAGGCGATCTATGCGGAGCTGGGGCGCGACTGTGTGAGTATGAGCCGTCTGGCTAACGGACTGTCTGCTGTCAGGCTTGAGAGGAAGCAGGGTGATCTCATGGCGTTGTGAAGATCTACTGTACTGTACTGTGCTGTGCTTGCACGATTTGTGCACGCGTCCACTGGGCGAGGAGTATGGCTTGACATGCTTTGAGCTTTGCAGGAGTATTAGAAACTCGGGTCTGTCATGTATCACAGATATTGTGACTTCAGCGTTGTACAGCGCGTGCGGACATTGTTCAATTATCAGATATTTATCGCATGGGATCTGAAAACGCCCTATCATCTCACAAAGCGGATATCATGGCAACCTAGCGTGAGGTATGACGTCGACGGCTGTAGCGACGCCCGACTGTCTTGAACCCATGATAGTGGGAGTCTTTTAGGCATTGAGTAGTGACAAGCAGATGTGCATGCAAGCCTCATTAAAAAAAATGATATTCTTGCCAACATGAGCCACCATTCACATATGAAAATAGCTGGTAACTGATTTCTGACAACCAAACATAGCCTGGTTGCAATCTCGCGTGGATGCGATCAGATCCGGCGATTGCTGAGTCATGGGTAAGGTTGGCCTTGGCGGACCCGCAGCTTGCGACAGCGCGACAACTCGAAAGAGCTTAAGCCTCAACCATCTCTCCGATCTCCCTTCCGCACTCTCCGTCTCCTTCATTTCCTTGCTGCTGCCTGCTCAGGACTCTTAGCTCCAAAGGTGAGTCTGGGTTTTTCTTGATACTGCTGGCTGCGGGTTGGAGTCAAGCTCACTGAGTCGACTATCTTTCATCTAGCCACTCAGGTATGACTGATAGGCGACAACGGCTCGTCTCCGCCGCGGCCAGGTTCACCTGAGCGTTGAATTCCAACTAAAGTGATTGCTCAATAGACACTCTTCCCTCTTCCCGATCTTACTCGGCTGCTTCTGCCACTAGAACGAAAGCTTCACCACCATCGAGTATATACGCAGTTGCGTCGACCTAATCGCGAAAATGGATCTCTCCAACATCTTGTACGTCGGACCCGTTTCCAGACTCCATCATCGTCATCACCGCAAGCACAGCAGCTAACGAGACTCTTACACCCAGCCGAATCGTCAACATCGTCGTTGGTGTGCTCATGGTCCTGGGTGGTATTTCCCAGTTCTTCCCTGCGTCCATGAGCTCCATCATTGTCGGCGTCTATGTGATTATCTTTGGTCTTCGTAAGTTTCACACCATCACCACCATGCAATAGGGCGAGACTAACCGCGATGCCCAGTCGTTGGTGGATTGGAATTCCTGCCGAACGTCCCCGACTACGTCTACCGCTACGCGTCCTTCCTTTTCTCCTTCCTGGGACGTGGTGGCTGTAAGTTTGCGCTGCGTTGGAGATAGAATCTTTGTATGTGTTTGCGCTAACATCCGGAATCAGTCTACATCTTCGTCGGGTCGATCATGTTGCACGACAACATCCTGCGCTATATTGCGGGCTCCATCGTCGGCTTCATCGGTCTGGGATATATTGCCCTGGAGTTCATTCCCTCCATCGAGCCTCCGTCCAACATGCGCGAGACCGACCAGGGTTGGGGCGCTGAGCAGGTCTAAGCATGGTGCGCGCATTGCGGGAACAGTCGGGCGGTGTGGCCTCGTGTGATCTCTGCACACGTGCTCGGACAAAGGTTGGTGCTACTCAAATCCGCAGCCGCTGCCCTTGTCACCACGAACGGGCAAGCGTCGGGGCCATGTCAGTCCAGCCTGTTCGGAGTATGACCGTGTACGGCCGGCGGTAAAGCGATAAATCTATCTTTATCCCTCTTATTTGAATGCTTGATGATCGAATGAGTTGCGACGAATTGAATATGGGTATGCGAACGGTTGCGGAAGTTGGGGGTGAGTGGAATAGGCGCAGTGAGCGCAGCGGTTTTATGGACCAAAGCCACACTGTGCCAATAACTCTAGATATATGGTATTTTTTTCCCAGCCCTCAGTGGGTGTCAGATATGTGTGTACTGTACTGTACCTGGGTATCTTTTTTAGGTTTGGGGTTCGGTGATTTATACCAGCATGGAGAGGACTTTTTCTTTCTTTCTCTTTTTCATTCGGTTTCTTGTTCTGGCTGTCAATACCATTAGCCTTGCAACTTCATGTAAATGAACCAGCTCTTTAGACGGTTCTTGGTCGAGGTCTGAGCGCTGGCACTATAACCGGCTATAACTATCACGGATTGTTTGCTTTCTTGGTTCCAGGTCCCCCCATGTGATGATGGCATCTCTCCCTAGAAAGACTCACGAGTCCTATTCGGACAAGGACCCCGGTATATCCGAGACACCATTTGAGCTGATTTTCCGCCTCTCGAGATGAGGGGTTATTGCGCCTACCCCGGATGTTTGCTGTAGCCAGCCATGGTCGGCCGGATCGTCTGATGCAGTCAAAATCTTTCGATAGAAGTACTCATTGGATTTGATATCCGGATCTCCGGACTCCGCCGAACTTGTTGCTCATATTCCGGACCTTGTCGCCGGGGAACGATGAAGCTAGCTTGGAAGGTACTGTAAGTATTGTCCGCAGCAAACCAGGTCCGTCATAGGCCATGTGCTTTTCGAGTAAGCTGGACATGCCCCAGAAGTCGTGGATGTGACTCATATCGCCAGGAGCGCATAAAAGACATGCTCATAGGTGTGCATTACTAACCTATATCGAATCCCTTTCTTTGGCCAATAGGCCTCGCACTCAGTGTTCTAGAATACCATGCCGATCACAATGAGTTGTCCATTGGCAAGGGTACTTTTGTCCGGGGATTAGCTGAGCTGATCATCTTACATACGGAGGCAGAAAGTCGGTCTGGCAGATCGATTGTGATAATCAATCTCACGGCCCCTTTCACAGACCACGTATCCGAACATTGTTACACATCAACCGTAACATGTCCTGCGTTTGCAAAATACTGCGGCGAAACAGCCCATGATCTACCCCTGTTGCTACCCTGCTGCCTTGATGGGCTCGACCTATCTTTTCTGCCTAGAACCGGGAATGATCGGGCGCTGGCTGCATGGTGATTGACGGCTCGATTTCAACCGATCACTCCGCCTTTTACCCTGACTGACTTAGTAGAAAGCAATCCAACGCCCATCAAAACTCTCGACAAGTTCTCAAACAAATGAGTCCAGTACCTTCCAGACCACCGAAGTACTATCTGTACTCGTATGGACATGGATCGTCGCATTGAGCTGAAGTACTGGATCGGATATCGCTTACGAAGAAACCTTAATTGATTGCTGCTGCCTTCGTCCCAGATTCAGATACGCCTTGCGTTTTTGTAACCAGCCTTGTAGACAAGACACCCTGCTGAGGCAGCACCACATGGCTGGGCGCCTACGTAATTTTGACTGTTCCTCTCTTTACCCTGACATGGCGAGATTTGGGGTGCAGGCAGGCGAGTTGATTAACCACTTCCAGCTATCCCTTCCCCCAGCCTATCGCTTTCGAAAGGCTGTGATCGTTACGCCTCCCCCACATAGCCAAGGCAGATATTGGGCGATGGCTGACAGCCGATGTGAAGTAGTCTAAGCGGACAGCGATCCATTGTCGCCGAATGACCAGATAGCTGGTCAGTAATGATATGACCCAAGCTTGGCCGGATCTTCCGACTGTCTGTCTGTCTGGTTCATCGCTCCATAGTTTACTTCCATGTCCGAAACCCATGAAACTCGGGATATTATTTTAGGGGGGCAAAAGTCCGTTCTTATCCCCGGGAACCGAGGCAAGGCGAAAAGGGAGGGAAGAGGGGAAGGAAGGTGGAAGGCTGAGTGAGCATAGTACAGAACGTACGTACGTATTTTTGGCACGCACGCTGGCTGCTGGGTGGCAACTTTTCCCTGCTGCCACGCTCTCTGTCGCTCTCCCTTTGCCCCCTTCTCCAGTGGTTGCAGACTTACAGTACATACTACGGAGTACATTCAGCTGCAAGCCTGCAACCCCTGCTCGAAAATGGGTAAGGACGGCAATTATGGTCCGAGAGCGAAGAACTAAAAGCCGAGAGAGTCTAGATTAATAATATACAAGATGAATGGGTTGGGAACCACTAACTAGTAAACTACGTACACCGTAACCTAATTTTAGGTAGCGTCAACGCTGCCTGCCTGGCAGGTGATTGTTTCGTGAAGGAGTTCCGTAAAGCAAAAAAAAAAAAAAAAAAAAGGGACCGAACAAACCAGGGTTAGGATCTGTTTTGGTAATGTAACCGTATCAGATCATCAGAGATCAGATCATATCATATCGCATCATGATATCAATCACGCCAGGTCATACAGAATGTGCGGGTTGCTTTTTCCCCAACCCTCCCCCCCTTCCCCCCTTCGGTTCTGTTTCATTTTCTGACAAAAAGGGAAAAAAAGTCTCCAATCACGCCAGGGACCGGCGGATCGACTAACAAACAATTAAATGTCAATCTGTCTGGATTGGAATAGATCTAAGGATTTTTCTTCTTTTGGTGTCTGATCTCGGACGAGTCCGTCTACTGAGTACCGGTAGAAGCTATCTACGTAGTTATCTGACCGTGGACCGTGGACAAGATAATCAGTTGCCTAGATCAGCAGGTGCAGATGTACCTAATTCGGAAGATAGTACGGAATACGGAGTAGATTGAAACAGGCGGGAAGCTAGACCTAGCACCTACTATCGACGCTTGAAGCATCTATGTAGACTAGGCATGATGAGCAAATGTTGATTTCATAGCAGGTACCTATCACAATCCCGATCGGCTGGGAAAGGAATCCAAGAAAAACAAAAGCAAGATTATCAGAGTAGGAGGCATGGTGTTTCCCTGGACTGATTGATCTAAGTAATAATACCAGTAAACATCAATGATCGCAACCCGCCTGGGCTGGAACGGGATTGATTATCTCTCCGTCCGGGCAAATCGGAATATGTCAGTCTAGAGGCCATCCAAAAGGTCCGTACGTAGCTTGGTCTAGTCTACCTGTAAACTGACGACTAAAGGATAGATCCAATCATTCAACCATTCATCGGTTCAGCCCCGTCGCCTCGGGTGAGATAACGACAATTCCGGTCGGTTCTTAAGGAGAAACGTCGGGAGTGTTGCTAGTCCGGACTCTTATGCAGCCAACCTAGTTCTCACTAGTCCGGATGTCTAAGCGGCAGACGAGTGAATTACGTATATGTCCGTCTCATTTTCTGCGATTTTCTCTGTTTCTTTGGTTTATTCCTGGTTTCCCCATTGGTTTGATACATAAGTTTCGTTTTTCGGCCTAGGCTCAAAATGAAAAAACTCACCCACTGCCGAGTGAGTAGAATAGCGCGACGACCAGCATGATACTAGAAGCTCGGAAGACCGAAATGGAATCTCCGGCAGAGCCAATGAGGGCGCGAAGAATCTGGCTGACTTGAGGAGGAAATGCGGCAAAGGCCAATCGCCACTCGTGGAATAAGGCTTATTCCACAATCTCGGCGCTAGCGACCGAAGAGGAAGGCAGCAGCCCCGCCGGCCCAGCGCACTAAGCCGCGTTTGGGTAGGTGGAGCCGAATGATTCGATCTGGGGACAAGCTTGCGAGATGAATTGGCCGGAATGGAAAACAAAACGGCCATCAGGGTAAAAAAAAATGTCAGAAGGGAGCAAACTTCCCTATTGCCAATCCATGCACAAACCAAAAAAGTCACCCACATTTTCTGATCAGTCCAAATGCCACGGTGGTGCTGACCATCTGATTTCTTTTTCCATCCTGTCGGGTTTACCCACTGTTCTTTCGTCTCTGCAGGGTGTTCTCCCAAAAGCAAAAACTACTTTCCCAGAAGAACAGGACTGGACTTTTATCGTTCGACACACTCTAGTACAGAAAGGGAACTCCCACCCCCCGTCGTAGATCCCCCTGGGAGATCGATAACGAAAGGGCGGCGACTAGTTGTGATAAGACCACTCTGCTGGGTGTGAGTGACAGCCAGCCAGCTCTTGACACCGCGTTCCGATATCCCCAAACGAGCAAAGCAAATTACACAGCATTTCGGAACAAAATACCTTACTTCCAAAACAAAGAAAAAGCAGAAGGCCAAAAGAAAAGAACCGAAAAAAGAGTCAGAAGCAGAACAAAAAGAAAAATTTCCATCCTGGTAAGTAACATGGTAATCGTTTCCCCGAGCAGTCTGGCCCCTCTCTCCCTCCCTCGCTCTCTCGCTCTGCCGGGGGTTATCAGTCTCCGGTCATCATCATTAGTTAGCATCATCATCATCATCAGCATCATCAGCCATCCGCCATCAAGCCATCAGCCCCAAACAACTTCAACCTTCTTCCACCTCATACCCACTTTTTCTTTCCCCTTCTCTTTCACTTCTTCTGTTTATCAATCTGGCCCCTCGGATCAAATCATATCTCCCCTGATTCTTCTTCCCCTTTCCCTTGGAACTCTTTCCTACCCTCACTCTTCCCCCTTCCTTTGACTCTACTCTTCCCTGCCTCTCTAGTCTCCCTCCCCTCCCTCCCTCCATCATATCTGATCCGACATTCCATCGCCTTGTATTGATCGCCCTTCACCTGCCGATCTTTACCTCTGCCCTCCGCGTTATCCCCTAAACGATCGATCTATCCCTCCCATCTTCTTGGACCCTTTCCTTCAGCCTTCTCCATTCCCATCTGCCTAATCGTCTCTTTCATCCCCTCTCTACACCTGGGTTTCAAACTTCACTCCTTCAACATCAAACCTCGTGACTCCTTCTTACCCGTTGTTCCCTTCCAGAATATACGCCCCGAGCCACACATCATCCGACGCCACGGCTACATCGCCACTCTGACTACTTCCGTCGTCCTCGGATAAGACCAACCGTAGGACTTTTCGTGGCTCATCTGTTGCTCTCAGGATCTCCATCTGTTCACTGCTTGCTGATCCTGTCGTGCATCGACGTCTGATCCTTCGCCCTTTCTTCTCTTGCAGCATTCTTGCTCCTGTTATCAAGGATCTTCGTCTCCTTCGACTTTCCCGGATCCAGTCCCCAGCTGGCTGACATTTCCAGCCGGCCGGCCTTTTCTGACCTTTCTTTTCTTTTTCTTCTGCACTGTCATCTTGACCGACTTTTGGCCTGGTGGTACAATACGTTTTTCTCCCCGACTGTGGTGCGACATACGTTACGACAAGCCCTTGCTCTACATCTAGATACCGATCCTCCTCAAGTGACTGACCGCGGCCTCTTGATACGATCTCAGGTGCGTGTTGCTGGGAGACCGGAGGCGCGAGGGAATAGCTTCACCATATACCGATCATGTTAGCGTCAATCTCGCAAATGGAGTCGGTGCGTTCGCTTCCTCGAACTCCCGACATGGTTACGCGGCATCCGTCAGCCGAGGACCTGGACGCAGCGCAACAGTTGGTTTCATCTGCCCAAGCTGGTCGTGAACATCTTGCCGATCGTACTCGTGACGACGACGCATCGAGGAGACCGGAAGGACCCGTTCCTCAATCCTCCTACGACCCAGAACGCTCCCTCCCTTCCGTCAAGTCCCTCTCAGAGGTGCCTCCCAGTCATCTGCCGTTGGAGAAACAGTCGCCGAAGTCACAGAAGGATGCCGCTGTATTTGGTCATTCCTGCAGGTAGGTGCAGCTTCAAATCCTTGTTGCGCGATTATTCATGTGTTTTACTAACGCTGGCGGCCTTTCCCCAGTAATTGCGGAACCAAGAGTACCCCATTATGGCGACGATCACCGACTGGGGCGATGATTTGCAATGCGTGTGGGCTCTACCTGAAGGCTCGGAATGTTGCTCGACCAACCAAGCGGAACCGCGTACAGACGAGCGCTGAGCCTGGTCAACCTCCTCAGCCGCAACAACAGCAATTGCCAATCCCTCCCCAACATGAGACGCATGCACCACATACCGAGGGCGGCTGTCACGGGTCCAAAGGGTCATGCCCTGGTGGGGGTAGCTGTAATGGCACAGGCGGTGCGGAGGGGTGTGATGGGTGCCCAGCCTATAATAATCGGGTTTACAAATCAACGGCGAGAGGCACCGTCCCCGTACATGCCTGGAATCGAGCGCCAACTGTCGAGAGCGAGAAGCCTCCCCCGCTACAGGAGCCCTTGGACACTCCCGGAAAGACCACGACGACGGGTGAGGGAAACATGCTGGTGTCGTGTCAGAACTGTGGAACCACGGTAACCCCGCTTTGGCGGCGCGATGAGAATGGCCATCCAATCTGTAACGCATGTGGTATGATACTTTCCTTATCTCGAAAGATGTGTAATTCGAGTGTTAACAGGTTTTGTTTGCAGGACTGTATTTCAAGTTGCACGGTTGTTATCGCCCCACCACAATGAAGAAGACGATCATTAAACGACGAAAGCGCGTCGTGCCCGCCTTGCGGGAACATTCGCCGACCGCCGCAACACACTCATCGAACGGCTCTTCCGCATCGCCTGAGGCCTCCCCTGCCGCTTTGGCTTATGCTCACGACGATCATCACCGATATTACAGTTCTGAGCCGATGGAGCACTATGCCAGCATGCCTGCGGAGCGAATTTCACCGGTCGCCCCAAGGCAGTATGGCTTTGCGCCGCCGCCAGTCGATTTCACGGGCTTCGGCTCCGGCGCGGTCTCCTTGCCGCATCATCCCCCACCCCCTAGATTGCTGGAGCCAGAACGCATCAGCGCCCCCAGCCACTCTCCGGTGTCGCAATTCGGCCGACGATCCCTGTCGCCTAATCCCAGCAATCCCAAGAAACGCACGCTCGCCGAGACCGCCTCATCTGCAGAAGCGATCTCCATTCCGACCACTTTGGAGAATGGATCTAATCAGCTGCCTCCGATCATGTCCTCGATGAACCCCTCCCCTCCCGCACGCCTAAGCTCTATCTCATCTCTTCTCAACCCCAACAACCACCATCACGATGAAACACGGTTGGATCCATCCCTTGCTGCGATGGGCCGCCAGCAGCACCTCCATCACCACCAACCTCCTCCCCCTCCTACTCTGGCCCCTCCCCCCCCTTCGCAACCCTTGCCTAGCGTCTCCGAGCTGGACGGTCTCCGTGAGGAGAGGCGGCTGAAACTGCAGCGAGAAGCGGAAGAAATGCGGGAGATGTTACGCGCCAAGGAGCGAGAACTAGCGGAACTGGGGCAATGAGATGATAATCTTATCAATCAATTAGTCTTGCCTTGGTTTCGGGGTTTGTCCTCCAATCAATCCATCTTATCTTTTCTTTCGCCTTGTCCTTTTTTATTACCAATCATACAACTCAACTTGGCGCCGGGCTTTTCTGACGAAGATACCACAAGCTTGTTCGTTTACGGTTCCGTACTGGACTGTTTTTGTTTTGTTTTTGTTTTTTACCCTCTTGTTTCTGGAACTGGAAAAGAAAAAGTTTTTTTTTTCCTGTCTGTGGGGTTTCGTGAGGGAGGGATTTAATTTGTTTGAAGCGTCGGCGGGAAATAGCGATATTTTTGCTGGAACCAATGTAGTTGTTAGGAATTCTTCAACTCAACTCGAGTCATTGGAAGAGATGTTTTCATCTTCCGATTGTTTCTCTTCGATTCTATATGGCCTGCTCTAGGGGGCTTTTCCTGTAATTCAGTTGACTCATACTTAAGCTTGTAGCATTGTTTGTGTATCTTCGGTCCCAGTCAGTACCTTACCATGCCCCATGGGCTTCCTGGCTGTTCCGGGTGTCGAGAGTGTCTGGTATCTGAGTGGGGGCGGTCCTTATCTCTGAAGTGCTAGGTACTAGGTAGTCACTGTACGCACTCGCCCACCCAGGATCCATGCTTATGCTGTGGTGTCAGCATGGGGGTGATGTATCTTTAGCCGGATCTCGGCGCAGACACCGTGGCTTCTTGCTCCTTACGTTCTGTACCTACCAGGTGGTGACTACGTTCTCCGAACTTGCGCGTGATTCCCACAGCTATCCCATCTGAGCCATGCTAGTCCCACTAGTAGGTAGGTACGACCTAGGTTATGGGAAATCTGACCTCTTCTTTCTCCGTTTTCTTAATGCCATCGTTGGGATGTTTGCAGAGTGCAGTACTGTACTGCACTGTACTGTGTCTTGGCACAGCATATCAGATCCCAAGGGCGCAAAGACACAAACAAGACAAATGAGATACACCCAGTGCATTCACGCTATCCTGACTACTGGCCTGTTATACCCTACCTACCTGCTCACCTACCTACCTGCCTCTTTGGTAGCACTGCGACGTTACCTGTCAATGCTGATATACGGCATAGCGGTTACGAAGGAGGGAGAGGGGGGTGCGTAGAATATTCGAAGTCCAAAGCCCTACAGTCAGCCTGGGGTAGTAGTCTAGCGGGAGTTGTAGGATCTAGCTTTATTGCCTAGGATTTGCCTTTCTTGTTCTCCTCGCAGTTTGTGCCTGGAACGACAGGATCAATACTGCCTAGATGTCACCCGGGGATGCATCGGGAGAAGAAACAAAGTAAAGCTTGCTTGGGTTCGTGGTGACATGGGAAGGATATTTCTCCTAGATAGTAACTTATTTTCCTATATCTGTTTGGCATCCGGGGGGGGGACCTGTCATCTTGAGGTATAGTAACAAAGGCCGCTGATTTACTAATTTTAATTCCGTAGGGCCAGAGTAAGGTATAGACAACACAACAAGCATATTAACCCCGTGACAGGGGTTGGAACTTCTAGGTTTGCTTTTGAGTCGAGGACTTTGGTCTTTGATCGATTCGTGTGGAGGCGAGGCACGATGGATGGCTTTCCTTGGCAAGGTCCATACACTACGACTAGATCATCCTCTCATAAGGCAGACGCAATAGACTCACCATTGTCAAAGGCAGCAAGTGCAGTACTAGCATCATATTCCATTCTCGCGCTGCTTTCACCACCATCGTGAGAGGGAGATAACTCCGCAGAGTACATATCCCCAGGTTGGAGGTCAGTTCATAGCAAGATGCTTTGGCTGAGTTGAGGGATAGGGAAGTTGTGATGGGCTTTCTTTCGTTTCTTCTTTTTGGAACAGTCCTCGTGTGATCCTCTTAAAATATGCAGCATAGACCCCGGGTGACGTTGCAGTCTAGAGCTTTGTGGTCGAAGGTGCCGAGGGGGGGGGGGGGGCAAGGGTAGGTCGAGTTTCAATCTTCGGCATTTCCGTTTCGGGTTGATTTTGATTTTCCACAGAAAGGACGGTGTCGAGGGTCTATGGACGCATGCCTGGAGTAGGGAAAGGAACGGGTATGAAAGGCCAGGGTTGGAGTTGAAAGGGGGATCGATTATTTTGCGCATTGTCTGTCTCATCCATCATTCGAGGCGTATGACTGGCCTGTGAGAGTCTATTTGAAGTATAGTGAGGAAGCGAAGAGATGAGGTATTCCACAAGTGTAGTTTTGATTAGATGATTTTTCTTATTGGTCACGATGTACAGTACTATACAAAAGTTGATATCTAAATAATATCTATGAGAGATTCTAGTTCCGTAGCCAATCCCTTTTCTGGGGGCGGATTGCAACAACTGTCGGGCTAGCCCGCAAACCATGTTTGACATGGAGTCAAGGAATGTGTCTCCAGTGATAGAGGGAGAAAGAGTGAATCAGGTATAGTGGCAGCGCCATCGAGCACCATTATCGATG